CAGTGTGTCCCCAGTGTGTCCCCAGTCTGTCCTCAGTCTGTCCTCAGTGTGTCCCCAGGCTGTCCCCAGTCTGTTCCCAGTCTGTCCCCAGTGTGTCCCCAGTCTGTTCCCAGTCTGTCCTCAGTGTGTCCTCAGTCTGTCCTCAGTGTGTCCCCAGTCTGTCTCCAGTCTGTCCCCAGTCTGTCCTCTAATGACTGAACTTGTCCCTCAGGTACGTGAAGGAGGGCGATAAGGTGTCTCAGTTCGACAGTATCTGTGAGGTTCAGAGCGACAAGGCGTCCGTCACCATCACCAGCCGCTACGATGGAGTCATCAAAAAACTCTACTACGACGTGGACGCCACGGCCTTGGTGGGAAAACCACTGGTGGACATTGAGACAGAGTCCAGCTCAGGTGAGACACCGACATCTGGTGGTCCTCAGTGTCTCCTGTTGTTCTGGTTCAAACTAAAACCCTGTTGTTGATCAGAGGTGATCCAGGAGGAGGACGTGGTGGAGACGCCCGCCATGGCTCGAGAAGAACACACCCACCAGGAGATCAAAGGTCACAAGACTCAGGCCACGCCCGCTGTCAGGCGCCTCGCCATGGAGAACAACGTGAGTCTCAGTGTCCTCAGTCTGTGTCCAGTGTCCCCACTCTGTGTCCAGTGTCCTCAGTCTGTGTCCAGTGTCCCCACTATGTGTCCAGTGTCCCCACTCTGTGTCCAGTGTCCTCAGTCGGTGTCCAGTGTCCTCAGTCTGTGTCCAGTGTCCTCAGTCTGTGTCCAGTGTCCCCACTCTGTGTCCAGTGTCCTCAGTCTGTGTCCAGTGTCTCCACTATGTGTCCAGTGTCCCCACTCTGTGTCCAGTGTCCTCAGTCGGTGTCCAGTGTCCTCAGTCTGTGTCCAGTGTCCTCAGTCTGTGTCCAGTGTCCCCACTCTGTGTCCAGTGTCCTCAGTCTGTGTCCAGTGTCTCCACTATGTGTCCAGTGTCCCCACTCTGTGTCCAGTGTCCTCAGTCTGTGTCCAGTGTCCCCACTCTGTGTCCAGTGTCCCCACTCTGTGTCCAGTGTCCTCAGTCTGTGTCCAGTGTCCCCACTCTGTGTCCAGTGTCCTCAGTCTGTGTCCAGTGTCCCCACTATGTGTCCAGTGTCCTCAGTCTGTGTCCAGTGTCCCCACTCTGTGTCCAGTGTCCTCAGTCTGTGTCCAGTGTCCCCACTATGTGTCCAGTGTCCTCAGTCTGTGTCCAGTGTCCCCACTCTGTGTCCAGTGTCCTCAGTCTGTGTCCAGTGTCCCCACTATGTGTCCAGTGTCCTCAGTCTGTGTCCAGTGTCCCCACTCTGTGTCCAGTGTCCTCAGTCTGTGTCCAGTGTCCCCACTATGTGTCCAGTGTCCTCAGTCTGTGTCCAGTGTCCCCACTCTGTGTCCAGTGTCCTCAGTCTGTGTCCAGTGTCCCCACTATGTGTCCAGTGTCCTCAGTCTGTGTCCAGTGTCCCCACTCTGTGTCCAGTGTCCTCAGTCTGTGTCCAGTGTCCCCACTATGTGTCCAGTGTCCTCAGTCTGTGTCCAGTGTCCCCACTCTGTGTCCAGTGTCCTCAGTCTGTGTCCAGTGTCCCCACTATGTGTCCAGTGTCCTCAGTCTGTGTCCAGTGTCCCCACTCTGTGTCCAGTGTCCTCAGTCTGTGTCCAGTGTCCCCACTATGTGTCCAGTGTCCTCAGTCTGTGTCCAGTGTCCCCACTCTGTGTCCAGTGTCCTCAGTCTGTGTCCAGTGTCCCCACTATGTGTCCAGTGTCCTCAGTCTGTGTCCAGTGTCCCCACTCTGTGTCCAGTGTCCTCAGTCTGTGTCCAGTGTCCCCACTATGTGTCCAGTGTCCTCAGTCTGTGTCCAGTGTCCCCACTCTGTGTCCAGTGTCCTCAGTCTGTGTCCAGTGTCCCCACTATGTGTCCAGTGTCCTCAGTCTGTGTCCAGTGTCCCCACTCTGTGTCCAGTGTCCTCAGTCTGTGTCCAGTGTCCCCACTATGTGTCCAGTGTCCTCAGTCTGTGTCCAGTGTCCCCACTCTGTGTCCAGTGTCCTCAGTCTGTGTCCAGTGTCCCCACTATGTGTCCAGTGTCCTCAGTCTGTGTCCAGTGTCCCCACTCTGTGTCCAGTGTCCTCAGTCTGTGTCCAGTGTCCCCACTATGTGTCCAGTGTCCTCAGTCTGTGTCCAGTGTCCCCACTCTGTGTCCAGTGTCCTCAGTCTGTGTCCAGTGTCCCCACTATGTGTCCAGTGTCCTCAGTCTGTGTCCAGTGTCCCCACTCTGTGTCCAGTGTCCTCAGTCTGTGTCCAGTGTCCCCACTATGTGTCCAGTGTCCTCAGTCTGTGTCCAGTGTCCCCACTCTGTGTCCAGTGTCCTCAGTCTGTGTCCAGTGTCCCCACTATGTGTCCAGTGTCCTCAGTCTGTGTCCAGTGTCCCCACTATGTGTCCAGTGTCCTCAGTCTGTGTCCAGTGTCCCCACTCTGTGTCCAGTGTCCTCAGTCTGTGTCCAGTGTCCCCACTATGTGTCCAGTGTCCTCAGTCTGTGTCCAGTGTCCCCACTCTGTGTCCAGTGTCCTCAGTCTGTGTCCAGTGTCCTCAGTCTGTGTCTCAGGTTTTTGGTGTCAACAACATACATGTTATTGAGTTTCTGTTCTAAACAAGAGATCAGTGCTCAGTCAGTAAGTAAACAAACAAAATATGAAGTTGGTCCGCTGCTGTCATCTGAAGTGGAACAAATTAAAGAATATTTCTACAGCATTTGTTTCATCTGCGTCAAATAACGTTACAGAGTCTGTTAGTGTTGTCACGGTAACAAAATTGGGACCCATCTTGTGCACTATGGCCGCCGTATTTACGTATTCCTGTCCGTGTCTGTGTCTGTGACCCCCGTGGTTGAAATCTGAACTCACACAGCTGCTGAATGATTTATTTTGCTCGCGCAAAACTATTTTTAGTCGCAAATGTGAGTAACGTTAAAATGCTCGCACAGTAGAGCCCTGTAGTGGAAAACATATCACTGTAGCATTGGCGGTGTTTCCACCCTTGCATGTCATTACGGTGCTGCATACGTTGCACGTCATGCTGTTGTGATGAGTGAATGTCATGAGTCTTTCTTGGTGAAGTGAAGCCAAGCTTTCGACCGCGTCTGTCTCTCCACCACTACGTCTTCTTTGTTGTTGAACGCACTGCTGCCTGACGAGCGTGACGTGCGTCATCGACGTAAAGATTCGGCGTAATGAAAAGAATCGATAAGGAAATCGTTAAACATAAAGGCTAATGATGTCGATGAATTGAACCAGTTGGAACCGGTTCTCGATTCCCATCCCTAGTTGTTACCATGGAGCTTCAGTGTGCGTGTCATGAATATACAGTGTGACATGGAGAGCTGTGGGTTTGTTCACAGCTCACAGTCTTCATGTTCCTCATGTTTAACACCATGGCACAGTGAAATGGTGACAGGAAGCTCCAGGTTTTCAGAATAAAATCACCAATTAATCTGCTGTAGTTCATTATAACTGTTCTTTCAACTTCTACTTCCTGTTGTGTCCTGGTGTCTCAGATAAAGCTCAGTGAGGTGGTGGGGACGGGAAAGGACGGACGGATCCTGAAGGAGGACATCCTGAACTTCCTGGCGAAGCAGACGGGCGCCATCATCCCTCCGACCCTGTTCCAGGAGGTCCAGACCCCGCCTCCGGTCCCGCCTCCGGTCCCGCCCCCTGCTGCTGCCAAGCCTGTCGGCGCTGCGGCGCCCGTCAAACCTACACCCACCACACCCAGACCTGTCTTCACCGGGAAGGATGTCACTGAGCCCCTGAAAGGTCAGACGTCATGTCACTGCTTGCAGGTGCTCTCTGATTGGTTCTTCCTGTCGCCATATTGAACAGACTTCCTTTATTTTCACAATAAAAGTCCTGTTTGACGCTGAGCAGCAGCAGCAGCAGAAGAAAAACAGTTTAAACATGAACCGACAGGAGCAGCGAGTTCAGGGTTCAGGTCTGAAGTGGAATCACGGTCCAGGTCTCTGAACAGACCCACAGGAAGCTGCAGTGACATCATGTCCTGTTTGTGTCGTGCAGGTTTCCACAAAGCGATGGTGAAGACGATGACAGCGGCGCTTAAGATTCCTCACTTCGGTTACTGTGATGAGGTGGACCTGACCCGCCTGGTGTCTCTGAGAGCCGAGCTCAAGTCCATCGTCGAGAGTCGAGGTGTCAAACTCAGCTTCATGCCATTCTTCATCAAGGTACGCCGCCGCTCCGCCTCCGTGCTCATCACTCACATGTTCATAGAGTCCATGTTCACGCTGCGCTCTCATTGGTCCAGGCTGCCTCCCTGGGCCTCCTTCACTTCCCCATCCTCAACGCCTCGGTGGACGAAGGCTGCCAGAACATCACGTACAAGGTCGGCATTTTGTTTTCTATCACTGCTGTTTGACCTCTGACCTCTGACCGGTTTCACACTTATGTTCCACTCCTTTAATCCATCATCGCCTTCGATATCACTGTGTCATGTTAAAGTTGGGACACCCTGAGACAGCCGAGCAGTGAGACAGCCGAGCAGTGAGACAGCTGTCCCAGGGTCTCTCATTGACAGTGATGGTGAGGACAGAGCAGGTGACTCCTGACAGCTTGTGCCAACACTCAGCAGCCATGGGCTCCTCTACACAGCTGCAGCACTCTGAACACTCAGAACAACACTCCTCTGGGGATGACGATGTCATCAATATCTCTGTAACGCTGCACGCAAGAGAGACTTAGTTCTGCGTTTAGCCCAGAAGCTAACGTTAGCCGTCCTGCCGCTCCAGCAGGCGCTTCAGCCTGGAGCTGCTGCAGAGTAACTCAGTAAAATAAATCCACCACTGAACGTCGTCTGTGATTATTGATCTGTTTTCTGATTTAGAAAACAAAAGCTGAATAATGTTGAACTTTGGGTCAAACGCTGCGTTCCTCACTGTCACCAGCCGTCCAATCACAGTGGAGAAAGGGTGTGAGAAATATCACACATCAGTTTTCAGCAGTGAAATAAAGATTTCAGTGACGTGATTAAAAATAACACCAGTGAGAGTTTAGTCTGTTGAAGACAGAACGACCAATCCATTGACCAGCTGATCAGAATTTTACGGCGCAGCTCTGTCACAATCTGAGTCATTACTAAGTTGAGAGCATGATTAAAATAGTTGGTTTTTATTTCCTGTTTCAGTTTCAGCTTTTTCTTCTGTAAAATGTTGATGTGATGAAACGTGTTGGTCTGTTTCCACCTGAAGACGTCGCAGCAGATGAGCCTCCTGCCAGCTGTCCTCGTGTCTTTGTTGTTGACGGACATATCTCTGTGTCCCGCAGGCGTCTCATAACATCGGCCTGGCGATGGACACCAGTCACGGTCTGCTGGTTCCCAACGTGAAGAACGTCCAGCTGCTCAGCGTGTTTGACATCGCTCAGGAGGTGAACCGTCTGCAGACACTCGGAGCTGCAGGTCAGCTGGGAACCAACGATCTCAGCGGAGGAACCTTCACCCTGTCCAACATCGGATCAGTGAGTACAACAACAACAGCAACAACAACCTGAACCTGCCGCACGTCTGAGCGACACCAACCTGTGTCCTGTTGTTGCTTTAAACCAGATCGGAGGGACGTACGCCAAACCGGTCATTCTTCCTCCTGAAGTTGCCATCGGAGCTCTGGGAACAATCCAGGTGGGTTCAGACTCTTCAGGGTCAACACTTGTTAGTCACAACATGCACGCCTCATCAGATACACGTGTTAATATGTTAATGTGCTGCTGTGATGTCATCAGATACACATAAAACAAGGACACTGCACATAGTGTGTGTGTGTGTGTGTGTGTGTGTGTGTGTGTGTGCGCGCTAGCTGGCAGCTGTAGCTCCGCCTCTGTTTCCTTCCATGCTTGGTCCTTGTTTATGTGAACATGGTCAGAGCTGTGGACGCATCACAAGGCTTCACAAGAGGATTTTGAAAAACCTCGGTGCGTTTCCACTGAAATTACCTGGGTAAAAAACTTTCCCTGGAAAAAGTGCCTAGCAGGGGGGTAGGACTTTTCAGATTACCCAGAATTCTTGAGGTTCTTTGTGTTTTGTTTAAGGATGGGTACTGACACCTGGTACTGAATTAGCCCCGGGGTTAAATTATAAAGACCGTAGTATTGATAAGCACTGATGGTAATGGTTCTTTTGTGCTGGTGCTGATCTTCTCCACACACACACACACACACACACACACACACACACACACACACACCAACACGACATGGTAACCGGTGAACAGCGGAGCAGCCGCGGTGGAAAAAAGTGAGAAGTGAAGATAACTCGTAAATGACTCGAGTTGACGGCAGCTACACTCGTTACTCTGTACAGCCCTTCCAGAAAAATGATTGTGGTTGTTGTGGGCAAAAATCCTTGATTATGCGACACGTTTTCTTAAAAAATGCGATGGAATATGCGGGAACTCACAAAAACTGTGGTTTGATGAAAAAGAGAAAAAAGTGATTCCCCCAACACCCTGTTGTCACTAGGCTACTGCCTTAATGTAAAGAGTCATTTCTAATTACTTCCTATGATAAGTAACCATACTACATCACAGAAAGTGCAGGGAATATTTAAGTTCTCATCTTGTTTTATTTCAGACCTTAATAAACACATGACTCAAACTTACAAAACATTGCTGAGTTAAACAAGTTCTGCAGCTTTACAAAAGAATATGCTACAACTTCTGTAACAGTGAATAAATAAAATATATATCCTGTCATGAAGGCTATGGAGAGAGATTCGTTTTTGCGCACCTGCTGGTTAAGCGCTTTTTGAAAGGAGTCAGGCGACAGAGACCTGTCACGTGCTCTTTGGACCCGCAGTGGGATTCACCCCTGGTGTTACGCGCTCTGGGAGAACCTCCCTTCTCTCTGTCACAAATCTCTCTCAGACTACTGTCATTGAAGGCAGCACTTCTCTTAGCCCTGACTTCGTAAGATAGTGAGTGATTTATGTGCGCTCTCAGTCTCCCCGTCTTGTCTCGTTATCAGAGGTGACGGGAGCGCAGCTACTCTGAGACCGAATCCCTCATTCATGCCTAAAATCATAACCAGCTCTTTTAGGTCGAGAGTTATTTCACTGGAAGGTTTCTTCCCTCCTCCCCACAGGAGTGAGAGAGAAGAAACGTCACACCGACTCTGCCCAGTGTGCGCTCTGTCTCATTACGTGATGCACACAGCGAGCCTCCGACGGACACAACAGCTGTTTGTACATTACAGAGAGCATCCACAGGCAAAACCCTCCAATTAATATTTCAGTTTTCTGATAAGATATATGTGACTTTTTTGCAACGAAAACGTGGGGATTATGAAATCATGCAAGCCCCGCATATTTTGTGCATTTTGCGTGGAAATCGGCGATTTATGCAACGAAAGTGCGGCATCTTTGAAAAAATGCGGCCCCCACATGAATATGTGGACTTTGGCTGATTATGCGTTGAATCATGTTTTTCTGGAGGGACTGACTGTAAGTGACATTAACCCTTAGAGAGTAAAAAGCCAATACTTTATCAATACATATAAACATGTAGACAGTGATATTCAATAGGCTCCGCCCACAGTCTCTCATCCAACGTCACTAACATTATGTCTGACACAAGGACAGCACACTAGTTCAGCTGATGGTGAGTTGTTCCTAATGAGCTCTAATGACAGCTGTCTATTTGGAGACTGACTTAGTTTGACACGTAAAAGACTTTACGCTGAGCTGCTGGCTGAGACAAACAGCCCAGCTCTCTACACCAGCACTGTGTCACCACGTAACCAGACAAGCTGGTGGAGCCAAATACAGGACACACACTGAATCATGTGTCATCACGCTAATTTGAACAAATGTTCAGGAACTTTGAGGTGGAAATCAATCAATCAATCAATCAATTTTATTTATAAAGCCCAATATCACAAATCACAATTTGCCTCACAGGGCTTTACAGCATACGACATCCCTCTGTCCTTAAGACCCTCACAGCTGATCAGGAAAAACTCCCCAAAAAACCCTTTAACAGGGAAAAAAAACGGTAGAAACCTCAGGAAGAGCAACTGAGGAGGGATCCCTCTTCCAGGACGGACAGACATGCAATAGATGTCGTACAGAACAGATCAGCATAATAAATTAACAGTAATCTGTATGACACAATGAGACAGAGAGAGAGAGACAGAGAGAGAGACAGAGAGAGAGAGAGACCAATGTAAACAAACAGATTCTTTTAGCCAGGTAAACACATTCCTGGAAATGTTGGTGTAAAGGGGCTGTAGGTGGTACCACGTAGGTGGTGACAGCATCACACTGTCAGAGTTTGATCCCAGGCTGTCTTTGATCACAGACCGTGACAACGACCATCCTTGACCCTCTCTGACTGTGTGACATAGGACCACCGTGTTAGAGCCACGCCAAAGATATCAACACGTTTCTTTACCGCTGGTCGTCTTCAGTCTGGGACAGACCAGAGTCACACAGTGTGCACGGGGTTACACAGATGAACTCACGCCTCCTCCTGTTGACTGAAACTGAAACTGAAGATGTTTCCTGTTTCGTTTTTTTTTTTGTAAAAACATAAAATGGTTTCAGTTTGTCTTTTTTCTTTTTCACGTCGGGAACTAAAATATATTTTCACCATAACGACCCTGGACGCTGGTGTCTGTTTCTCTGTCAGGTTCTTCCTCGGTTCGACGCCGGTGGTCAGGTGGTCCGAGCTCACATCATGAACGTCAGCTGGTCAGCGGATCACCGCATCATCGATGGAGCCACCATGTGTCGGTTCTCCAACCTGTGGAAGGAGTACCTGGAGAACCCAGCCAGCATGGTGCTGGACCTGAAATAGACAGAGGAATATTTCCCATCAGCCCCGAGGAGGACGAAGACCTTCATCACTGCTCCATCTCCTCTTCCTCTTCTGATGCCTTCGCTCCCTCTCTCTGTTGGAGGCCTTCATGTTCACTCGCTGTTGTTTCCTTGTTGCCTTTGAGCCAGGCGCCAGGAGGAGGGGGAGGGGTCAATCACGCTGTTTTTGTGACAACCAACAACACACACACACACACACACACACACACACAGAGGAGGTCAGAGTTAAAACAAACACTGACATATGATCTTCAATGTTTCAGAGAACAGACAACAAACTGATGATGATGAACTTTACTCTTCATCACTTCACCAGAATGACCTGCTGTGAATCAGTGAATCAGTGAACTGGTGAATGGAGCTTGTTGTTGTTTGAAACCTGCTCTTCATCCCTCAGTCACAGTTTGTCTTCCTGTGAATCAGCTGCTCTGAGATCAGTTTGTAGTCACTGGACTGAAACATTAATGGGACAGTTCACACGTTCACACGTTCACACGTTGACATGTTCACATGTTGTGCTGTGTGAGGCACTGATCCACAGTCAGTGTGTTTCCTACAGCAGACGTCAGTCAGCAGTTTGGAGTCTGACATGGAGGATGAAGGATGTCCTGCTGTGGGCGGAGTCAGAAACTAAATGTGTTTTAGACTCCTTAAAAATCATCCTCAGTTTAAGTGTACGTTATATTGAGCATATTTTCACTGCTTCATCTTAATGTCACACTGATGATAGACGGGACAATGAAGCTGTTTTCTCTCTCGTCACAGCCAGACTGTCCGGCAGCAGCAGACCAGCAGCTCCTGAGTTCACTCATGTTAAATCACTGGTTTTCTTAATGGAGTCTGGCTGTGACGAGAGACAGATAGAAGACTCAGACTGTTTCCATGACGACAGAGGAAACAGATTCTTTTAAAATCCCTGTAAACATGTCAGTGTGAGTGAAATGGTCCTGCAGTGAATGTGTCACAGTGGGACTAACACACCCAGATCATGTGACTCCTGCATGTATACAGTCAATCAGACCCAAACTGGCCGAGGCGCTCTGAGCATGCTCCACAGTTTCCGCCCCGGGCTTTGACCCGGAAGTCCAATAGCATTAAATGTGTAAGAGAAGAAGAAGCCGGTAACAACATGGAGAAATCTACATCCAGAGCCGTGACTTTTTGGACGCACCAAATGTACAGAGCTGTAACATGTGAACGTGTGAACGTGTGAACGTGTGAACTGTCCCTTCAAACGTCAGTTTGTCAGTTGTCGTGTCTTTGTGTTCATGTTCTGTGATGAAACGTTCTCTGTAGAACCAGGTTCCTTATCAGTTTATCAGACGTGTCAGAGTCCAGCAGAGACACTGGGACTAAAACCATCCATGATGTCTCTTTAACTCACTGTCGTGAGCTCAGTCAGCTGATGACTTCCTGTCTGACGTTTGGTTAAAGGAAAGTTCTGTGTGTCGTCATTTCGATCTCTGATGATCTGCTGCGGTCTGATCTGATCTCAGACCTGTTTCTGCACCTGGTCCAGTATGCTAATGAGGGGGGCGGGGTCAGGACACCACATGAGTCAGGTGAAGGCTCATGTGTCACATATTTGGAACAGTTGGTGTGAATGAATGAAATCATGATTCAGTTTCTGATGTCTCGTCAATAATCAATAACACAGAAGAATAAGCGTCAACAAACGTGTTCTGTGGTTCAGACCCGTCTCCCTCCTCACGGTTTCTGTCTGTCCTCTGTCTGTCTTCTGTCTGTCCTCCATCTGTCCTCTGCTGTTTCATAATAAACACTAACCCTGACAGACAATTATCAACCTGTAAATAACCACAGTGAGTCCTGACTGCAGACCTGGTCCTGGTTCTGGTCCTGGTCCTGGTCCTGGTCCTGGTTCCTGCTGACTGCAGACCTGGTCCTCGTCTGTCCTGAAGACTGTTACAGAACCTCCTGATGATAATAATGATAGTAGCCTGATCCAGGATCAGCTCCTGGACCTCGGTCTCCTCTCTCCTGGACTTCCTGTCTGTCCTGGTGGCTGCTGGGTAAAAAGCACATGGTGTTGGTTGTATGTTACTTTTCCTGCTTTGTGTTTTTGGTTTTAGCGACAGACTTGATGTAAAGGTGTAAAAAACAAACGAACCTGGGTTTTTGTATTTTTGGGATCTCGTGGATCTGAAACGATTCAAGTTTAATGAACTGTTTGAACCTGGTGAAAAAAAAGTTTCAATAAAGTTGAAGTGCACAAAACGAGTGTGTTTGTGAGCCGCAGACACTGAAACATCCTGCTGTTGGAGTCACATGTCCACAGATGGTCATACAAACACAGTCATGTGACTGGGCACCTTGTCATGTGACTGGGCACTGTGTCAGAGGGGTCATGTGACCTGGAGGCTAAATTTATCGGCAGGTCTGAGGTCAGATTTCAGCTGAAGAGACGCAGCATGGAGGACGGCCGCTGCTGCGTTCACACAAGGTGAGACCTGACACACAACACGACCATGAATCTGACGGAGTGCTGCGACTGAAAGACGCTCAGACTGATTCTTTATATCTCAGTGTTTGTTCAGCTGCTGAACTCTCAACAGCTCAAACTAAAACTTAAAGGGCAAAAAAAATCTACAACTTCAGAAAAACTTAATTTCAAATCAACTTTTCTGCTGTTTGTTTAATTTAAAGATTAAAACACAAAATAATTTAACATTTGAACTTAAGATGAGAATAAATGATCTAAATAAATAATCACTGTTTTTCTTCATTTTATTTTGTTGTTTGTATTTAAATGTTTGTCAACATGTTTTTGTATCGAAGACCGTGTGATTATTTATAGATACAATAATTAATGTTTTTATTGGAGGACAAAACAAATAAACAAAAGATGATCAGGTACAAAAGTCTCGTTGCTGTCAGAGAATCTGAACTGTGTTTTTGTACAAAGGTTCAGAAGGTCGCTGATGTGCACGAGTGTGACTGTGTGAATATCTGCAGGTGATGAAGGCGAGACGCCGACAGGAAATGACATCATATAAATACTGACGATAGTAACAAACAATACAACAAACATCATACTGAGTACAGTCATAAAAATGAAGTGTGAATGTTGACCCAGCAGGAGGCTCAGAGGGAGGACCTGGCTGCATCTCAGAGGTCAGAGGTCAGAGGTCGTCCAACCTGCTCACCTGTGAACTGTGACATCACACGGCTGACAGGAAGTGGTCATCATGGTGGGCGTGGTGGCGTGCAGTTCAGTGAGCTCCATTAAAGCTCTGTGGGAGACGAGAATCAGGAAGGTGCAGGAGGAGCAGCAGGAGGCGAAGGAGCAGAGGAAAAGGAAGGACAGGGGTGGGGCCACCAGCAGGTCAGACTCCACCCTCTTCTGCTGACAGTCAGCTGACAGATGATTCTATTGGTTAAAACTACAGGAAGTCATAATTTGAAGTGTTGTGACTCCAATACAGATTCTAAAACTTGTTTAATATTTTATTAACTCCACTCATGACGAGCTTCATCACATCATGCCGTCCCTGAGTTCTTTTTTCAGTTAGCTGTTAACTGCTAACACCTGCTGTTCTTCTTCTTTGAGTTAGCCGCTAACTGCCAACACCTGCTGTTCTTCTTCTGTGAGTTAGCCGCTAAATGCTAACAGCTGCTGTTCTTCTTCTTTCAGTTAGCCGCTAACTGCTAACACCTGCTGTTCTTCTTCTGTGAGTTAGCGTTCAGTGCGGAGTGTCAGTTGGTGGTTATTGTGATCGTGAGCACTGGCGAGTTGGAAATCAAAAATCAATAATGGACATGGATCGGAGAAGGCATCTTGGTGCAGTTATTGCAGCAGGATTGCTCTACCTGCAGGCTGAGGAGGAGGCTGCCCAGCTGAGGAGGCGGATCCCAGAAAGACAGCGGAGGATGAGGATGAGGACGAGACGTGCGATGCTTGCATGTCTCTATTGTTTGATATGTTTGTCCAGTTGTGGACAAAGTACCAGGAAAAGTAGTCATATCACAACAAAGAACAAAAACTCAGTCACAAGTCAAAGTGCTGCAAATGTAACTTGAGTAAAAGTATCTGGGTATTGTCAGCAGAATGTAGGACTACTTCAGACGAAGAGTTCAAAGTACTCATGATGCAGAGTGATCTAATTTCAAGTGTTGTGATCATCATATACATGAATATGTATTGAGTATTAATTGATCAATGTAGGCTACATGTGAGCAGCATTTAAATGTTGTCATGGTAGAACTGATTTTAACAGCTGTCACTGGTGCACTAGTCTGATCTATAACAACACACAGCAACTTGTAAATACGAAACAACAACATATAAAACAAACTATCTGAAAGTAACTGTAGCTATCAAATAAATGTAGCTTGAGTAGAATGCACAGTATTTCCCTCTCAGTATAAAGTAGCACAAAATGGAAATACCCAAAGTACAAGTACATCAAATTTGTAATTAAGTACAGTAGCTACTTGAGTAAATATACTTAGTTACTGTCCATCACTGCATTTGTCTCATCATTATGCTTTCTGTCTACATTTTTATGGAGACGTGACAGTTTACTTGGTGCACCTAGAAAAAACAACAGCAGTTTAATATTCAGTCTGACATTTTATTGAAGTGTTGAGTTGTAGATTGTGGTGCTGTTGAACTGTACTGGATTACACTGACAGCAGTTTGTCATTTAGTCTGTCCTCACCGATATAAATGGATCAAACAGGTCAGATGTTCAGAGGAGAAGTTTATTCAGACATCAGGTACACAATTCATATCAGATAATCAATATTTAAAATGCTGTTGCATAAATACTACAATAAATACAATTAATCTTTAAATACAATAAATAAATTACAATAAATTCTTAAAATCATTATTGAATGGTAAAAACACATAAATAAGCAAAAGAATACAAAGAACATTTAATAATATAATAATCTATCTTATATAGTGAGACTGAATGTTGCTCATTAGACATTCCCCACACGGATTACATTTCATATTTAACCACTACAGAGATATCAGTGACGAGTTTAAAAGGACGACCAGAGAGAGGCTGCTCTCTGTGGGGCAGCCTGAGCGCTCATACACATGTTTATTATCTGTGAGCGCTGACACCGCTGTCATCTAGCGGACCTCACATTCAGCTGGGCTCTGTGTTAAAACATCGATCACGAGTTTAAACTACGCATGAAAACACTACGTTCCGTGACAAAACAACAGTCACATATCAGTAATTACGACTTTCCCCCACTGGCCATTTTCGATGATTGTTGCGAAATGCATGCTGGGATACCTGGCTGTCTGAAGTCCACACAAGTCTGCTCCGATGCATCCCCGGTAAAATGGGTGTGGCGAGAACACATCTGGGCATTTGGACTGAACTTGGCCAGATGTGAACTTTGAATTGGAACAGTACTTGGGCTGTGACTGATGACGTGTCACAAGTCCACAAGAACACATGTTGAGAAACGGCTCAAGAGTTTGTGGTTTGGGGGCGGAGTCACATGTGTTGGTGCGTGTGTTGTGTCTTGTGTTCCTGGTGCAGACTGAGTGTTGGTGTCTGGGAGGACCGGGCCGTCCTGGCTCGACTCCGACAGAAGCTGCAGACGGAAGACGGACGACTCGTCCTCCGCATCGAGCAGGAGGAGTGGAAGGTAATGTCCTACAGACAGGAAGTGATCTCAGTGTTCTTTTGCTCACAGTTTTCAGATGGCAGGTGCTGCTGACTTTACCTGGTGATGTCAGTGGTCATGTGACCCTCTGATGGCGGTCTCTGTCTGTCTCTGTCGCTGCAGACGCTGCCTGGCTGCCTGCTGCAGCTCAGTCAGGTCCAGGAGTGGCAGATCCACCGGACCGGACTCCAGAAGATCCCCCACTTCATCTCCAGCTTCCAGAACCTTCTAGTACTGGACCTGTCGCGGAACGGCGTCTCCGAGATCCCCAAACAGATCGGTCAGTACCTGCCCCCCCCCCACACTCTCATCATCCCTCTGCTGTCATCATGTCCTGATGTGTGCATCTGTCCTCCTGGTCCTGTCCTGGTCCTGTCCTGGTCCCGGTCCTGGTCTCAGGGAAGCTGACCCGGCTCAGGGAGCTCCTGCTGAGCTACAACAGAGTCCAGTTTGTCCCTGAGGAGCTGAGCTGCTGTGAGAGTCTGGAGAGACTGGAGCTGGCAATGAACCGGGACCTGAACCAGCTCCCAGATCAGGTACAGACCTCCTCGTCCTCCTGTCTAAGTTCTGGTCCTGTCTTGACTGTGTCCTGCTGGTCTGAGGTCTGTCCTCTCCTGTCCACAGCTGAGGAACCTGAAGAAGCTGCAGCACCTGGATCTGTCCATGAACGACTTCACCTGCGTCCCGGACTGCGTGGTGGCGCTGCCGGCGCTCGAGTGGCTCGACATGGGAGGAAACCAGCTGGAGCACTTACCTGAGGACATCCACAGGTGGGTAAAGGAGTCATGTGGGCCCCGCCCCCTTGTGTCCTCAGCCAATGAACAGTGAGTACTGTGTGTCCTCAGGATGGAGACGCTGCACACGCTGTGGCTGCAGAGGAACCAGCTGGAGAGACTCCCGGACAACATCAGCAGGATGAAGAGTCTGGACACGCTGGTCCTCAGCAGCAACAGGCTCCGAGACATCCCCCCACTGATGGAGGACATGTCCAACCTCAGGTCAGTCCGTCTGTCTGTCCTCAGGTGTCCCCTGGTCGTCGCTCTGACTGAACAGTTTGTGTTTGTCTTGAAGCAGGTTTGTTAACTTCAGGGACAACCCTCTGACTCTGGACGTGGCGCTGCCCAGCAGGAGGACAGAGACTGGCGCTGAGGACGAAGAGGACGAAGAGGATGACAGAGAGATGTTTGGACGAGAGTTCATGAACTTTTACATCCAGGAGGCCAGAAAGAGAGCGCACGCCATCCTCAACGTGCACAGAGTCAACCGTTAGTATCTACACACTCCGTCCTCATCAGGTCTCTGACATGAGACATGTTTCTGTGTGAGGACGTCCCACGGATCGTCTGTCTCACCTCTCTAACATGTGACGTTAACATGCCTGTATGTCTCACCTCAGTAGATGTGTTTTCACTGAGCAGCTGATGAACTGCACTAACGACAGGAGCTGATGACATCATCATCATCAGGTTGATTTTTTAATTGTTTGATTTTGAAACATGTGTCAAAGTTTAATTCTTTATTATTATAAAATTTTAATTTCAGGCTGTGACGAGCTGAAAGCTTCATTCAGACTCTTTATACTGTTGTTGTTGTTGTTTCAAGCTTCAGATTCAAAACGAGATGGCGTAGGGGCAGCGGTTGATACGGCGGTATGTAAATCACAGCAGCTGTCTCTGATGGGGATCTAACAGGATATGAAAATATTGATTTGATGATTGATTATCTGATTATTTCTGACCTGACGGCGGCTCGTCCTGCAGCTCTGAGACTTTGATCCAGGACCCTGTCTCAGAGAGCAGGATCAGTGTAACCCTGAGTCAGTTACTATGGCAACATACTCCGTGAAGCCAAAGGTCCTGACACACCAAGCTGATGGTCGGCCGTCGGTCAAAGTCGGGTCGTCGGTGAGCGTCTGTCTAGTTTTTGCGGTGTGTCCCGCTCCGTCAACACTTCGGTGTCGGCGGCTTTTCAGCCGATTGAGCATGTTGAATCGGCGGTGGAGCTTGTTGGTGAGAGAGATCACTCTGATTGGCTGTTCAGGTTTTATTTCCTCGCCCCTGTAGCGAGTGAATCTGCCTGTAGTGAAACCGGGGCTAACCGGTGCTTCCTCCTCAGGCTCCACTTCACTCAGCTGCCCCACAGACCCGCTGCTTCTTCACACTTTAACCTGAATAACAAACCGG